ACACACACCCTCCCTGTCTCCCCCACACACACACCCTCCCTGTCTCCACCACACACACACACCCTCCCTGACTCCCCCACACACACACCCTCCCTGTCTCCCCCACACACACACCCTCCCTGTCTCCACCACACACACACCCTCCCTGTCTCCACCACACACACCCTCCCTGTCTCCCCCACACACACACACACCCTCCCTGTCTCCCCCACACACACTCTCCCTGTCTCCCCCACACACACACACACCTCCCTGTCTCCTCACACACACACACACCCTGTCTCCCCACACACACACACCCTCCCTGTCTCCCCCACACACACACACCCTCCCTGTCTCCACCACACACACACCTCCCTGTCTCCCCCCACACACACACACCTCCCTGTCTCCACCACACACTCCCTCCCTGTCTCCACACACACACACCTCTCCCTGTCTCCACCACACACACACCTCCCTGTCTCTCGAGAACGTTGTGGTGTCAAGTCTTGGACGGCGAGGAGAGTTTAATAAGCTGCTCAGAGGCATTTTCGTGGGCTGTGTGGAGCGCCCTGACCAGACGCCATCAGAGGGAAAGCGCCCTCGATCAGTTAATCTGTGGTAAGCACGATATACGCCAGTTCATAGTGATTGCTTATAGTTGGTCGTGTGCCCAGCGACAGTAGCGATGTTTATTTATAAGTTAGACATGTTTTAATAAGGCAGAAAGCCTGAAATAAGAGAGTGGAGAGGGAGGAACACGGAGCGACGTCCGCCCCCTCTGAGCGCTGGCGGATGACTGAGGGAGCCTGGCTCCGGATGTAGGAAGACCCTCCCAGCGAGTGAGGACCGCTGCCAGGCGAGGTGGAGTATGGACCCGCCCAAAACGGGGGAGTCCACTCTCACTGTATGTAGAGAACAGATAGAGGTTTGAGGCAAACATATTGTGTGAATATTTTTTTGTTTATGTGTTAAAGGGGAACATTTTATTGGAGTGTCGATGGGTTGCAGGTTTGTTCTTTGGGGAAGAAGTTGCTGAGCACTTCGAAGCCAGCAGATGAAGTAGCTGATGAGACTCCAAGGTAGCGGAGCAGAGGACCTCGAGCTGTGAGGAGAAGCAGCAGTGAAGAGGAGTGTCACGTGCTTCTGCAGAGGTGGAGAAGCACCATAGTTGCTCGGGGAAACTTCATGGTGTAGCAGCCAAGAGAGCTGTGGAGGACCCTAGCAGAAGGGTGAAGCACCGTAGTTACTCAAGGAAACTTCATGATAGCAGCCTGGAGGAGCTGCGGAGGATCCTGGTAGTGAAGCCCGGAAGAACCTAAGGATATTAGGGTTGTGAACTTCCAGAGGTGGAAGGGGAAGGTCTGGTGGATTACTTGTAGGGAGTTGACAGAATGTTTGGTTGTCATTAGCGTGCAAGACGCAGTGAGAGGTGAGTGACTGTTGGCATTCTTATGTCGAGGAGTTTTTTATACTGAAGTATAGAGTTACAGTCGTAGGCTGGATTACCTACAGATGTATGTGCTCGAGGACTGACAGTGATCGATTAATCATTGTTGTGTATCAATGAACATTTATACTGATATATGTTATTGCATTCAAATGCTGGTTTTCTATATATACATTATCTTGCTGATAGTGCAACAGTGTATGTAGGCTTGACCAACTTGAGGAGGTTAATAGTATCAGGTGGTGAACCAGGAGATAGGATACCACTTGATAAGCTGATAATAGAGTTCTGATGGTGTTGGAGTGCAACCTGATTGTGATATTATAGAGTATAGGATTCATTATTATTATATGTGTGTATGTATCGTGTATGTGCTTTGTCCAGTAAATGTGTCACAATTTGCTGGTGTTTGCCCTTGTCCTAGTGAGGCTTCCCAGGAAGTAGTGAAGAAGGAGAGAGAGAGAGAAAGAACCAAGAACCACTGCTGTGGACAGGGTAAGAGGTAATACTAGTAAGTCATAGGGGATTGAGGAGATCATATCTCATAAGGAGAGAGTGGGGAGTCACAGCGGCTCGAGTGGGTGTGTGCACGTGACAACGAGGCTAAGTGTTGGAGCCGCATCCCCTAAACGTGTGACGTTGAGCCCCTCTCCAAGAGCCAGAAGCGCCAAGGGTGATCTCCTAGTATAAGCACTCTGCCGAGTTGTGGGTTGGGTTGTCCATAGAGAAGGATCGACGACGACAACACCAACCAACCCACAGTCTATAATACACGCACACACCCTCCCTGTCTCCATCACACACACACCCTCCCTGTCTCTCCCACACACACACCCTCCCTGTCTCTCCCACACACACACCCTCCCTGTCACACCCACACCCTCCCTGTCTCCCACGCACACACCCTCCCTGTCTCCCACACACACACACCCTCCCTGTCTCCCCCCCACACACACCCTCCCTGTCTCCCACGCACACATCCTCCCTGTCTCCATCACACACACCCTCCCTGTCTCTCCCACACACACCCTGTCTCCCCCACACACACCCTCCCTGTCTCTCCCACACACACACCCTCCCTGTCTCCCCCACACCCACACCCTCCCTGTCTCCCATGCACACACCCTCCCTGTCTCCATCACACACACACCCTCCCTGTCTCTCCCACACACACACCCTCCCTGTCTCCCCCACACACACACCCTCCCTGTCTCCCCCACACACACACCCTCCCTGTCTCCCACACACACACACCCTCCCTGTCTCCCCCACACACACCTTCCCTGTCTCTCCCACACACACCCTCCCTGTCTCCCCCACACACACCCTCCCTGTCTCTCCCACACACACACCCTCACTGTCTCCCCCACACCCACACCCTCCCTGTCTCCCACACACACACCCTCCCTGTCTCCATCACACACACACCCTCCCTGTCTCCCACACACACACACCCTCCCTGTCTCCCACACACACACACCCTCCCTGTCTCTCCCACACACACACCCTCCCTGTCTCCCACACACACACACCCTCCCTGTCTCTCCCACACACACACCCTCCCTGTCTCCCACACACACACACCCTCCCTGTCTCCCACACACACACACCCTCCCTGTCTCTCCCACACACACACCCTCCCTGTCTCTCCCACACACACACCCTCCCTGTCTCCCCCACACACACACACCCTCCCTGTCTCCCCCCCACACACACACACCCTCCCTGTCTCTCCCACACACACACCCTCCCTGTCTCTCCCACACACACACCCTCCCTGTCTCCCCCACACCCACACCCTCCCTGTCTCCCACGCACACACCCTCCCTGTCTCCATCACACACACACCCTCCCTGTCTCCCACACACACACACCCTCCCTGTCTCCCACACACACACCCCCTCCCTGTCTCCCCCCACACACACACACCCTCCCTGTCTCCCACACACACACACCCTCCCTGTCTCCCACACAAACACACCCTCCCTGTCTCCCCCACACACACACCCTCCCTGTCTCCCCCCTACACACACA